CATGTTGACAGCATCAGAAACCTTAGATTTCAAATTCTGGATCACAGTTTCTTGTTTTTCCATGCCTCTAATGCTTCATTTGTTTTCTCTGCATTGTTTTGGATTGTTTTTTAAGCTCCTCCTTATCTTTGCTAGCACTATTCTGCATTTCATCCAGTTTCTTTTTTATCCATTGAAAATATTCAATCATTGTTATTTTAAAATCACTATCAGAAAGATCCATCAGGCTTTCTGGCTCCAGGAAATCCGTTGCTACTGTGTCTTCTTTGGGGGTTGATATCTTGCTTTGGGCTGGTGGGAAAAGTGAAGCACTCTGCTTTCTACTGGCCATTGGTGTGGCAGAGTTCTTCGTGTCTGAGGTGGTAGCTGGTTTTTTATTTGACGTTACTGCTCCAGAAAAAGGTTTGGCAGAAACAAGAGTAAATGCGTAGAGGGTGTGTGTACACTCCAATGTTCACGTGAGTGGGGATGGAGGAAGCACACACTGATACACGTGGGGAGGGTCTCAGGAGAACCTAAATAATGAAGGAGGAAGTCTGTTGTTCCCTTTCTGGAATAGCTTCCCCACTCTTTGGAGATGCTCAGGATCTCCCTGTTGTTTGGGTTAGTGGGCCCTACGTACTCAGGCCAGAAACCAGTTTTATTCCGCACGTAACTTAATCCTCAATGGTACAGGAGTATTTTAGGGGAGGTTGATAAATCTTATAGATGTGGCAAATGGGTGTGGGGTGTCTGGTTCACAAGCCCCGGCCGGGAACTGCCTCTGCCATCCTTGCAGATCTCCCAGCAAAGTCCAAGTTTACAAAGATGGCGTTTCCCCACAGACCTCTGGGAACTGTAGTCGGTACCTGCAGTGGTAGCAGACAGGAAGGCTGGGTCGCAAGCCCCGGCCTGGAAATACCTCTGCCGTCCTTGCAGATCTCCCAGCACAGTCCAAGTTTACCTTAAAAGTTTTTAAAAAGTGCTGATGTTATTTTAAAGCCATGCTTGTTTCAATTCCAGGTTATGCATCTGAAAATTGGACATTGAATAAGGACAATAGGGGAAGAATTGATTTTGTCATGTTGAAAGAATTATGCTAAATATCCCATTGAATTATAAAAGAACAAACCAGTATGTTTTATAGAAAGTATACCAGGGTACTTCTTGAAGGTAGGAAGAGCAAAACTTCATCTCACATATTTTGGGTATGTATTTAGGAATGACCAGTCCTTGGAAAAGGACATTTTGCTTGAAAGGTTGGAGTTTTAGCAAAAGAAAAGAAGACTCTGAATGACATGGATTGACACAGTGATGTAACGGTGGGTTAAAGTGTATTAGCTATGATGAGGATGGAACAAGATACATAGGACAAGGTTCAGGTTTGTTGTTCACAGGGTTGCTATGAGTCATAAAAGACTCAGTGACATCATCAACAACCCACATTATTTAGTTAAATAAATCTGTGCTTCTTGAGGTCAACTGATTTAATCACATAATAACAACAAAAGCCACTAGAAGGAGTCCTGGCAGCATAGCGCAGAATGCTAACCAAAAGGCCATCAGTTCAAAACCACTAGTTGCTCCAGCAGAAGAAAGATGTTTAATCTCCTGTCATAAATGTGTTCAGCCTTGGAAATTTGATGGAAGATTACCATGAGTGAGATTTAACTTTACTAGTGTTTGACCAAACAATGGGCACCATAGCCTAGCCAAGTGGGTGCATAAAATTAACTATCACAAATGTAAACTTTTTTTGTTAAAAAGAAGGTATAAGGAGGTAGAAATATGCTAGCTTACTGATCAGGGTGAACAGAGTTGATGTGATTGTGGTAGTTATTGTTTTTGTGGTTATGTGCCACCAAGTTGCCTGTGACTCCTAGTGGCCCTATGTACAATAGCTATGAATCTGGATATCCTGAGCCAGACTCACTGACTCCAACACACCTATACCCATTAACGCAGTTATTGTGTCTATCTATCTCATCTGGGGTCTTCCTCTCTTGCAGTATTCCTCTAACCTTCTAAGCATAATGTCCCTCTCCAAGGACTGGTCCCTCCTTGCAACATGAACTTGATACTGGTCCCTCCTTGCAACAGAGCTTCAAAATCCTTGTCTTCAAGGAGCAGCCTGGCTTCACCCTCTCCAGTATAAACCTGCTTGTTCTCTTAGTAGTTCATGGTATATTTAATACTCTTCTTCAGCATCACAGTTCTTCTATCATCCTTAGTCATTATCCAGCTCCCTGATGCATAGCAAGTTATTGTTAAGACAATGGCCTGGATCAGATACATCTTAGTTTCAAGACTAACAACATGGCTCTTTAGTACTCTAGAGAGGTCCCTGACAGCATATTTTGCCAGTGCAATTAGATTTTTCATTTCCTGGCTGCTTGTAACAGGAGTGTTGATTGTGGAGCCAAGCAAGTTGAAACTGTCTACAATGTCACAGTATAACATGACTCTGTCATTCAGCCCAGCTGTGAGAATGTTTGTTTTCTTGATGTTTTGCTTCAATCCACACTGAAGGCCTAGACCTTCAATCCACACTGAAGGTCCTAGACCTTCTGTAGCAAATGCCTCAGGTTCTTTTCCGTTTTAGCAAGCAAGGTTGTGTCCTCTTCACAGACCCCAGCCTCCCAAATGTTCAGTTCCGCATATAGATTAAAAAGATATGGAGATCCCTGGCATACATTTTTTCTGATTTTAAACCACAACGTGTTTCCTTGCTCTGTTCTGATGACTGCTTCCTACATAAGCACAATCAAGTGTTCTGGGATTCCCATTGTTCTCCGAGTTAGACACAGTTTGTTGTGATCCACACAGTCTTTGAATAGTCAATAGATCACAGGTTTATTGTTATTTATTTTACTTATTTATTTTCTCTGCTTTCAGATAAAATCCATCTAACATTGGCTATAATATCCCTAATGCCACTTCCTCTTTTAAAACCAGCTTGTAAGTCTGGCAATTCTCTATTGATGTGCTTTTGCAGTAGTTTTTCCAATAATTTTCAGCAAGTGATATTTTGCTTGCATGTATATTAATTATATTAGTCAATAATTTCCACACCCTGTTGGTTCAATCTCTTTTTTTTTATGAGAAATATGTATTTCTTCCAGTCAGCTGGTCAGGTAGGTGGTTGTCCTCCAGGTTTTTTGGCACTACCTGGTGAGCGTGTCCAGGGCAGCATCTATTTGTTGAAATATGCCAATTGGTATGCTGTCAATTCCTAGGGCTTTGTTTTCTGCCAATCCCTTCAGAGAAGCTTGAATTTCCTCCTTCATCACCACAGGCTCTTGATTATATGTTGTTTCATAAAATTCTTCTGTGATTGCCAATTCTTTTTGGTACAGTGACTATGTACTCCTTCCATCTTCTTTTGATGCTACTTGGGTTTTTCAACATTCTGCCCAGAGCATCCTTAAACTTACAACTCAAGGACTGAATTTGTTCTTCAGTTCCTTCAGCTGAAGAAATGCTGAGTTCATCCTTTTTGATTTTCCAACTCCAGCTCTTTGCACATCGCACTATTAATAGCTTGCTTTCTCTTCCAATGCTGCCTTTGAAATCTTCTATTCAGCTCTCTCCCTCTCCCAACATGGCGGCCTCAGCCAAAAAGAAGAATAAGAAGGGGAAGACTATCTCCCTAACAGACTTCCTGGCCGAAGATGGGGGAACTGGTGGAGGAAGCACCTATGTCTCCAAACCTGTCAGCTGGGCTGATGAAACAGATGACCTAGAAGGAGATGTTTCAATCACCTGGCACAGTAATGATGACGATGTGTATCGGGCACCTCCAATTGACTGTTCTATCCTGCCCACTGCTCCACCGGCTGCTCAGGAACCCAATATTGACCGGAGCCGTCTTCTAGGGAGTCTACCCTATGATGTGACAGAAGACTCCATTAAAGAATTCTTTAGAGGATTAAATATCAGTGCAGTGCACTTACCACGTGAACCCAGCAATCCAGAGAGATTAAAAGGTTTTGGACATGCTGAATCTGAGGACCTGGATTCCCTGCTTAGTGCCCTAAGCCTCAATGAAGAGTCTCTAGGTAACAGGAGAATTCGAGTGGATGTTGCTGATCAAGCACAGGATAAAGACAGAAATAATCGTTCTTTTGGCCGAGATAGAAATCGAGATTCTGACAAAACATACACGGACTGGAGGGCCCGTCCTTCCACAGACAGCTTTGATGACTATCCACCTAGAAGAGGCGATGATAGCTTTGGAGACAAGTATCGTGATTGTTATGATTCAGACCGGTATCGTGATGGGTACCGTGATGGGTATCGTGATGGCCCCTGGCGAGATATGGATCAATATGGGGGCCGGGATCGATACGATGACCGAGGCAGCAGAGATTATGCTTGGTATATTTTTCCCCCACACTTTTACTTTTAGCCTGTCTTTATCTTCATTTTTCAGGTGTGTATCTTGTACACAACACATTGATGGATTTTGTTTTTTTATCCAATCTGCTACTCTCTTTCTCTTCAGTGGTGCATTTAAACCAAAACTCATGAAAAAGAAAAGAGAGAGAAGACACAAATAATCAGAATAAGAGATGAATCAGGTAACATCACAACAGACCCAACTAAAATAAAAAAGCTAACATTACAATACTATGAAAAACTA